GTACAGCTACATATGTATTCAAGTAAAAGTACTGATATGACTAAAATGTACTTGAGTAAAAGCAGTTACATGAGTGTTATGTATTCGAGTAAATGAGGTGTTAGTAACGTGGTGTTGAATAAACTGAAGTATAATTATGTGAGATCAGGAGTCTGTTCAGACTCTCACATTATTATTATTATTATTATTATTATTTAAATGATAATGATCTGTTTTGTTTGTCGTTCACTCAGTCACTGTTGTTCACCCGTCCATGTTTAAAGACGTATGACGTAACATTTCTGATGGAGGTCACCACCCGCTGGTCTCCATGGAGATGTGATTTCTTTCTCTGGAATGTTCCACAGTGTTTTATTGTCATTGTACGAAACACAAGGAAACTTCAACAGAACAAATCAATGAGCAAAAATATAAATAAATATAAACACGTTCTCACATCCAGACCCAGAAAAACATGAAATAAATAAACTGATTATTGCACTGAGTCCCAGTTTTGTTGTATTTTGTATGACAATAAATCTAAATATCAGTATATCGTATCGTTTCATGTGATGATACGGTATCGATATAATGGGTAAGAGGATTTTTTGGTTTATTTTACTAAATTATTTTGTTACAGCTACAATGTTGTTTAAACTCTTTATACGACACATTTGACATTTTCGATGGTTAAAATGTTTGTGTTTCATTTTAATTTTGCAGAAGAAGTGGATTAACAAAGACTTTTAGTATCACAGACATGATTTAATCTTTATTTTTATTGAAATCGTGTCGAATCGATTTGAAATATAACGTATCGAATCAAAAGTGCAGTGTATCGAGATCATATCGTAGTTTCTAGTAAAGTACAATTACTCAAATATTCTCCTCAATTACAGTAAACAAGTGAGTATTTTTATGCTGCTTTGGGCTCTAAAATGTAAAAAAACAAAACCAAAAAACCCCAATACAAATCCAGAGAACACATAAAGACACCATAAGAATCTCATATTTTACTTTCATTATGACACATTTAACTTTAATTTCACATTATAAAGAACATTTCTGACACAAAAATACAAGATTATAAAACTGGGTACGTTCTTGTTTACTGCATTCGTGAACTTCAACATTTCGATTTCGAGAAGCGGTTTCAAAACACATTTCAGTTTGTTTCAATAAACTGTAAATAAAACTAAACCTGTGCAGTGTCGCCCTCTAGTGGGACATTCTGGAACAACTACTGGATTTAAAAACAGTTTTGGTCAAATACAAGAAACAGCTGGAGTGTAGCGTAGATTTTCCAGGTGTGTCCAGCTCTTCTGCTCAGATATTTACATTTAGAACTTTGTAAATAAGAAGTAGTTCTACCAAATAAAACAATAAACTGACAAAATGCAGGATAAATAAAATAAATATAAAAATACTTCTTATTAAATTGTGCCAGTGTGTTCATGAACGTGTGAAGTTTTGGTCCTCAAAGTGTCTGAATGATCCCAGAATGTGTCAAAGGTTTGTGTAGTAGTAATAGTAGTAGTAGTAGTAGTAGTAGTAGTAGTAGTAGTAGTAGTAGTAGATTGAGATATTATTGAGTGTTTTTACATGAGCTCGAGTGTCCCGGTTCTGATCAGGTTTTTGGAGTATCCTGTTTTTGGTTTTTGTGTCCGTGTAGATGCAGTGTCCTTTTGATTTGAGTCTGTCCCGGTGATGAAAAACCGGAGACTCTCGCTGGGTTTTCCCGAGAGGATCCGGGACATTGTGGTTTGTTGACGCAGTGTCCCGATTCCTCTAACTGGAGCTGTACTGAGCACGTGCAAACTCAAGAAACAAAAACAACAGGAGCTGTTACTTTCCCAAAACGACTCAAACCACCAGGACCTTTGAAATACTGGATTTTTCGAACGATAAGTCGCTCCAGCCAAAAAATACACAATGAAGAAAAAAACACACATAAATATATATAACAATAACATATATAACAATTAGGGATGTCCCAATCACATTTTTTTGCCCCCAAGTCCGAGTCCTTTGATTTTGAGGATCTGCCGATACCGAGTCCCGATCCGATACTTTTATAAAACATGATGAAATGAACTAAGAGCAAAGAATCAGATCCAGGATCTGCGGGGTCAGATTGTGTTGATTTTATGTGCTGTATTTGGGCTGAACTTGTGAAAAATCAAATTTAGTCAAAAAAAACTTTAATATTATTAACTTTTCTAACCATGAATCATCATTGTTGAAAATCTTGACTTTTCACACTTTGGTCTTGGAATGTGTAACTTAGAAAATTTAATGAACTGGACAAAACAGGAACCAGACCAGAACCAGATCAGACCTGAGACTCGACTCTGCACAATCTACACTTTGTATATTTGATGTTATATGTTTGCATGTGCCTTACATTTTAAACATTTAAGCTCCACAGCCTCTGTCCCCTGCACCAACACCACATCCACAAACCACCGCAGAGCAACACCGCAACATGGTCCCACCGCTCGATAGACACTTCACGCCGCTG